AATCCTTGTGGCTCCCACACACAACAAATGTAACTTCAAGCTGGTACTGTGAAGCTGATCCAAGACCAACCATCAGTGGCATGGAGAGGTTACCAAACAGCAAACCTAGAAGCCTGAGATAGAGAAAGCTATCGATGGGGAGGCATGAACATAATGCTCACAGGCCATTATGGTCGGCAATGTCAATTTATTATTTAAATCAGTTAACTTTTATACAGTTTAGTTTGTTTAGGGCACATGCTTATAATAAGATGATTGGATAGCTCAGTCTGTGCACGCATCTCATGTCCCCAGTTCATTGGACCTGATGTTCTGTCCACGCGATCTGAAATCATCCTTGGCATAGAAACCTCTTTCTAATTAATCTGCTTTTAGGGTTTTACTAAATTTGCAGGTGTTTCATTATCTTCAGTTTCTCAAGGTTTTCTTTCTATAAACATATTATGTTCTCAAACCTTATCATTAGACACACAGCTAACAAGTATAAGCATCACATATTTTCACACAGTCTATAAGTATAAACAATACACACTTGCCACTTCCATGGCAAGCAAGGCCTACAGAGTGCAGGAAAAACTGTTCACAGAAATCTCTGTGTCCGGCGACAGAAAGCTGAGAAGGAATACATTCACTTAAATTCACTTTATTTATATATTTAATTTATTTATATATTTAATTATATTCACTTTAATATAAGTGAACTTAAGGAACAGAAGATTCTTAAAGAAGAGGGATAACAGTGATCACAGAACCATAGAATCATAGAAAGGCTTGGGTTGGAAGCAATGTTAAAGATCACCTATTTCCAACCCCCATCCATGGGCAGGAATGCCACCCACTGGATCAGGATGCTCAGAGCACTTATGCAAGAATGAGGCAAGAGAGATGCAGGAATAAATCGTTACTTATTGGACATGGATGAATTTAGTCTGGAAAGTCTTAAGAATTAAGATGGAAGTGTCTGGGACAATGTCCTAATCCAAATAATGGGAACAAAAGTCCTTCCTTACAGGTAGATTTATGAGGTAGAAACTGAAAGATATCACTGGATGTGACTCCAGCCATGGTACAGAGTGAGTTTGGACTGCCCAGAAAGATTCTGGGTACACTGAGCTCAGCTGGGTCACTTTCAATCCTGAGCTGGGATGTCTGCATGATGCTGCATTTACAGCTCTGTGTCTCTGGTAGGATCACAGAATCAAAAATATCCTGAGTTGGAAGAGAGCCATAAGGATCATCGAGTCCAACTCCTGGCCCTGCACAGGACACCCCCAAAAATCACACCTGAGAGCATTGTCCAAATACTTCCTGAACTCTGGCAGGGTTAGGGCCTTCTCATTGCTCTCTGTTGTGTGGTACAAACGTGTCTTAGATGGGCCATGAATGAGACTTTGAGGTGCACTGTTGGTTCCAGGCATGAAATGTTCTACTGACCTTTAGATAGAGGAGACAACTGTGAGGGTCAATGAACTGGGCCATGCTCTCAAGGCGACTCTTTTTCTATATGGAGAAACCTGGGAGCCAAGGATGCTCCCTGTTTTAGTTGGAACACTACCATCAGATCAAAAATGAGCAGGAATGAATCAAAGCAACTCAGAGGAGAACAACTTGGTGCTGGTGGATGAGAACCCTGATAATGACCTGGCAACTGTTCACTTGCAGCCCAGAAAATCAACCGTGTCTTGGGCTGCATCCAAGGCAGGATGGGCAGCAGGTGAGGGAGGGGATTCTCTTCCTCTCCTGTGTTCTCATGAGACCCCCACTGGAGCACTGCATCCAGCTCTGGGGTCCCCAGTAAGAAGGATGTGGATCTGTTGGAGCAAGTCCAAAGGAGCTGGAGCACCTCTTCCATGAAGACGGGCTGAGAGAGCTGCAGCTGTCTCAGCCTGGAGAAGCCTGGAGAAGAGAAGGATCCAGGGAGAACTTAGAGCACCCTTCAGTACCTAAAGGAACTACAGAAGAGTTTGAGAGAGACTTTGGACAAGGGCATGGAGAGACAGGACAAGGGGGAATGGCTTCAAACTGAAGGAGGGCAGATTTAGTTTTATGGAATAAGTTCTGCCCTGTGAAGGTGGGGAGGCCCTGGCACAGGTTTCCCAGAGAAGCTGTGGCTGCCCCATCCCTGAAATTGTTCAAGACAAGGTTGGATGGGGCTTGGAGCAACCTGGGCTAGTGGAAGGTGTCCCTGCCCATGGCAGAGGGGCTTGAACTGGATGACCTTTAATGTCCCTTCCCACCCAAACCATTCTGTGATTCCATCCCTAGTGCCCAGACAAGGCCTATGCAAAGGAGGAGAAAAGTCTCTTGTTTGTGCTTTGTACTTCTACCTGCTGGATTGAGACTAAACTTTACAGGCAACTGCAGCTGCAATCAAAGGACATTTCTGCAGCAAGAGGGAAGGACATGTCCTTATTGAGCTGTCCTTTCACAGCCTCTCTGAGTAAATGTTTCAGCAGAACAAGAAGTCTCTCGGTACAAGGCAGAGCTGCTGTACTTGCACAAAACGATTTCCACGCTCCCTCACACGATGTATCCAAAGGAAACATTCAGAATCAGTCAGGAGACCTTACTCAGCAGTCACATTGCACCTCCTTCTTGTGAAGGATAATTTACTCAACCCCTTTCTCAGTTTACTGAGTGATTGAAATACAGTAGAAGGTGAAATGTCTCACTTACAACTGAATATAACCTTCTCATCTCCCTCCTGAAATTACAGAAATCCCCACCCTGATAAGGGGAAAATGCATTTCTTTAAGGCACTGATACTTTACTCAACAGTAAAATAATGAAAAATAACAAAAAATAACAGAGAATTTTATAAAAGAAACCTTTTTTTTCTTTTAGACAATCTAAATTTGTATCTCCTTACACTGCAGTGTCTTATCCACATCAAATATCTATTCCACAGGTTAAGAGCAACATGATTGTCCCTGCTCTTGACAGCTCATCCCAGTCAAGGCGTCCTCCTTATGTGGGATTAGCTGTGAGAGAGAAAGGAGAAAGGCTTTCCCCCACAAAAGAGAACAAAGTGTCACTTTTTGAGTAATTTCAACAAACACTCTGTTGTGTTACCAGGGGCATCTTGAGGGAAATTCTCTCTCCTGTGGCTGCTGCAAACTGGGAGCCACCAGGTCACTGTGACCTGACTGGAACAGTCAGTGGGGGAGTGAAGTGGAGGACTGACAACACAGGAATCCTGGGAAGACCTGAGAAAGGTTCATGGAACAGTCAGAAAAGCCAGATATATTTTTAATATTGATTGTGAAAAAGAAAACGCTAAAGGGAAAAAATAATAAATGTAACTTCTTGTTTAGATCTGAGTAATGTTTGTCAGAAACCTCCATTCGAGTGACAGTCGGTGATATTAAATTCTGCCCGTACTTGGGACGTGTCAAATGAAAAGAGGGGATCTACTGAACAGTCAGACTGAAAAAAATGAGGAATATCAGTCCTTGTTTGGAGAAAAAGGGACGTGGAGGAGAAAACTGTCATAAGTCCCTTGTATTCCCATAGTGACGAGAGAGGACAGTCCTTGCCGGTATCCATGGTGTGTGTAAGCAAGGAATATTCCTGATGCAGAAAGTGCTGAGAGCTGCTATCAGAGAGTTTTAGTAGCTTAAAGGGAAAGATAGAAATTCAAAAATAATTCAAAACCAGTCCCCACACCTATATTTGTTCTAATTTTGGTGAGTCAAGCAGAGGAATACTCTTTGGTGGGAGGACTCGGAAGAGCAGAACTATGTTCTCCCCTGGTTCAGCTCCAAGGTGACACCTGGTTGCAAGCCAAGAATTCCATGCAGAAGAGGAGCAATCAGAGCACAGAGTGGGGAGGGGATTCAAGACCAACAGAGGACTGAGATTTAATGAAGGAACAAAGGGATGTTGTGAAGGAAGGAGGGATTTTGCCATTCATGGAATCAGGTGTAGCTCAAATGTGGTGCTGCAGCAGAATTGAGACCAACATAAAACATGCCTTTGGCCTTGCTAACTTTGAGCTGATCTTTGGAAGGCAGTGATGGATTCTCTAATTTAAATCATTAAAATAAAGCCAAATCAAAACACCTTCTGAGAATGCATTCAGAGAAAGCTCTCTTGTTGTGCCAAGAGTAGCCTGAATGCCAGAGCTCTAAATAAACAGTCTAAATATACAGGTTCATAAATCTTGTGTGTGAAATTAAAACAAGGGAAAGGACATTGATTTATTATATGTTTGTTGGAAAGCTTAAGACTTCGTCTTTCATTATAATAACAGTGTTGTCCCTGCTCCGTCAGGGGGCACAAGTACTTGACTTCAATTGTGCTTTTCTTGTTTTTTGGTAATTAGAAGGTCAGCTGAAAGTGTTCCCACAACAGCAATCTTCTCAGCTCCACTTTTAGGTTGTTTCTAGATTCCCATTAACAGTTCACAGCCCAGTCCAAGTTCCCCAGAAAGAAGCTGACCTTGAACTTGCAATCCAGCCCTTGTTTCAGGGAAAGGATTTTGTAGGAAATGCCGTAAAATCAGGAGAAGCGTTTGAGAGCTCTGTGACATCACATAAGCTCTGCTTCATATTAAGGGTTAACCACAGAATGATGGAATGGTTTGGGTTGGAAGGGACCTTCAAGATCATCTCATTCCAACCCTCTGCCATGAGCAGAGACACCTTCCTCTATCCCAGGTTGCTCCAAGCCCTATCCAGTCTTGTCTTGAACAGTTCCAGGGATGGGGCAGACACAGCTTCTCTGGGCAACCTGTGCCAGGGCCTCCCCACCCTCACAGGGAAGAATTTCCTAATATCTGTTGTAAAATTATCCTTTTTCAGTTTAAAGCAATACTAATTTTATACCAGATGCAGCTATGCCCTGGTTTATTCGAAAGACACCTTTTGATAACTCCTGAAAATGTGGGGTTCTTTTTTCCCCCTCTTTTGCTTTGTTTCTTTGTCCCCCACTTGTAGTGCTTCGAGAACCTCTAAACCTGGGTGTGCCTCATGTGGAGAGAAGGGGGTGTGTGGGCACAAAGCCTTTTGCTTGAAGGCACCAATAAGAGTGAGAAATAAGGAAATTAGGAGAGTAAGAAACAGGAATGGAGGGGCAGATGGTGAGTGTCACTGAGGGTCAGACTTCCCTACTGGAATGTGCTGATGAGCTCTGTGCTGTAACACACCAGTGACTCTTGTGTAACACATCCTAATTTAACATACTGGCTCGTGCACTGTGGAAAGGAGCCTTCATCTGTCCTCCATTTGGAGACCATGTGGCTACCAAGATTATCTTTGAGATATTCAGAGCCCTGACAAGTCAAGAAAGGCAGAAGTTGGCAAACTATCATCTAAATGTTTTGAAAAGTAAGAAGAAAGACCAGTTAATTCACAGTTCTGCCTTAGCCTCATCCTCTAAAGGGTTAGACCAGCTCCCTCCATGTCTGCGAATGGACAGCCTTGCTGTCCTCTGCAGTGTCATCTCTGAATTTGGGATGTGCATTTATTTTCCAACTCTGTCACTTTTCATGATCTTTATCTCCCTAAAACTTTCATGATCCAGATGTTCCCTATTGGCTTAGGTGGCTGTGCTGGAAACCATCCCCACTTAGTTCTGCCTAATGCCTGTGACCCAAGCCTGTGTCCAGTAACCAGAGGAAGTAAATAGTGTCTACAGAGCATAGTTGAATTTAATTAAAACAGTAATAATATCTCAGGCTTTGGAACACCAACACCACACCACTCTCCTGGTTCACTGCCTGCACACACAGCTCCACAGAACAGCTCTTCCTTCTCTGACACCTGAGGGCTGACTGGCTTTACTTGGATAATAGTACTCACTTCTCTCACTTAACAACAGGAAATATTGTGTCAGTTTGGAGGAAATCAAAGAAAAATTATCTGGAGAAGGAATTTTCTTAATGTGGCTCAGTATCAGCATCTGAGAAAAGCTTTAGGAGACTGTTTTCGCTGCTCTAAGTAACATCACATTGGATTGATACCTTAAAACACCTGGCACACCTGATTTATTTTTACTTCCAGGTGGCTGAAGAAAATCTTCATGCCATCCATGGTCAGGTGTTTCTGTCAAGTTGTTTTTCATTGGGGTTTTTTTCCCTTTTTTTTTTTTCCTGAAGTTAGGGACTGCATTTGAAAATTCCCCTTCTTAAACTCACCTCCCCTTACATAAACTGTTATAACACACAAAAGACACTGAGAACAAGGAGAAGGTTTGAGCCAGAAACCTGCAAAAGGCATTCAGGGCTTCAACCATCCGCTGGATGGTCATATCCTCCTCCTTTATACCTCTAAAGCAGCACTAAACAGGATGTTCTAGAAAGGTGCCTGTTTTGGAAAAAAAAATTATTCTATTTTTTTTCTTCAACATTTTCTTTTATTCCCCCAAGGATTTCTTCTAAACCCGGATTGCTAAGAAGAAACTTTGTTTCCCTTCAATACAACTTGCCTGAACTCATTGTGAGACAACACTGCTCTGAGCACAGTGGCACTGAACACAGGTAGATACAGGTGTTTCTGACTTTTGCAGTGGCAAGATCATGTTGCAGTTAGCTTTTCCCTTTCAAAGTGCCTCAAATGTGCAAGGCAACAACATTTCCTCCCATGGATTGTGGGCTGCCTCCTTGGCCTAGAAGCAGAAGTGCCAAATAACTCTGCTTTCCACCTAAAGTTTGCTGGTGCCAAGCAGGGAACCTTAAGCTTTCGGTGCCATGAAGGCTGATATCCACATCTCAGTGCAGCTTTGGACATGAGCATCAAAATGCTGAATAATTCCTTGCATTAATTGACCTGATGGCCCAGATGTTCCATTTCACGTGAGATCCACCCCTGGGCAGCCCAAGACCTCAGGTCATTGCCTTAGTAAATCCCATGAGTCCCTTAGTAAAGAAGACCTTTCGCAAGGCCAAAAATCTCTACACAGGGGCCTTGAAGGACATAAGTGTGAGGAGGATCAAAATTGCCATCCCACTCACTGAGCACAGACCATCATGGGGGGCACTGGGAACTGTCTGTCCCTGGGCAGGGAAGTGTGTCCACCTCCCAAAGCTCTGCTTTGGTTCCTTACTGGAGAGAGGTGAAGAATTTCCCCAAGACTCTTGAGCTAAAGGGATGGGACAACTTGATTTCTAGTGAGTTTGGGGGTTCTTTTCTCCACAGTCTCATTACAATGTCCCTGCTCCCCTGGGAAATGGCCATGGCAGCAAGTCTGCCAAAGTTCCAGAATTATTTGGACAACACTCTCAGGCACATGATGGGATTGTTGGGTTCGTCCGTTCAGGGCCAGGAGTTGGACTTGATGATCCTTGTGGGTCCCTTCCAACTCAGGCCAATGAGATGAAATTTTCTTCTCTTTCCTCAGAGGTTAAACCTCAGGATTCTCTGGAAGTCAGTATCCCTTTTTTCTTTCTTTCACTGCTTAATAGAAAGCCACAGAGTTCAGTGCTGTGATGAGTTTCAGCAGTGACAGCTCTCTCCCTGAGAAAAGGCACAGCACAAACAGAGAGAGTCCACAGGTACTGAAAAACCCCCAGAGAATAACAGTGAAAATGAGAAGAGGATGTGAAAACAACATGTGAAGAAAAAGTGAAACGGTTGGATTTGTTTAGCCCAGAAAAGAGAGACCTGAAGGAAACCAGGTGAGTGTTCTTCCAACAAAGCAGAGGGAGCGTGTGGAGATCAATAGTTCTGTGCCCTTGATGACTAAAACAACATGAAACCTGTTCAACTTCCAGCAAAGAAAAGAAATTAAATGCCATAAAAGAAAATGAAGAGTGAATGTTGTCTGGAGAGGCTGTGAAAACTCCTTGGATGTTTACTAGAAGACCTGAGGCAAACAAGCTGCAGGAATCCTTGACTCTACCTTGGCACAGGGGAAGGGGATGGGGCACAGGTTCACAATCTGGGAACAAACAATGTACCTGAGAAGGGGAGAAGCAAGAAAAAATTACTTTCGGCCTTGTTGTTTCCCTCTACCCTTGTTCTTCGCTGCTTCTCTCCCCAAAATCCATATTTTTGAAGCTACATGAAGAAAAGCAAACACACACAAGCACCACCCTCTTTCTTTGAATCAGTGGAGACAGCAAGATGAGCACAAAATAATTTCCAAGGGAATTTGTGAAGGAGAGTGAAGCAGAGAGGTTACTCATCTCTTCTAGAAAAGAAGGATAGCTCAATGTTAAAAAGTCCAAAAGCTTTGGGAGTTGATGACCTTTAGGCCCGTTGCATCTTTTGGAAATCCACTTCTAAATAAACATTCCTGGCTGAAGTGTGCTCCAATAAAACCAGCATATTGCAGTCATTTGCTGGTTGGGGCAGAGTCTTGTCAGCTCATTCACAGCACATTTACTGCCAAATCATTCCTTTAATCATAGAACCAGGAATGTTACAGGCATTGAACAAATCTCCCTCATTAATGTGAGCGGGTTCCCACCTCAGCCTGTGGGACTTCAGCTGCTATTCTGGGAGGAGGTCTTGTCACCTCCTGTGTGTGTGAGTCAGAGCTGGCATGGCCAGGGGCAAAACTACAGCCTTGGACTCTAATAATGCTGGTTGCCCACTTCTGAAGGAGCCTTTAGTATCTCTGCCCTGGGGCAGAAATACTTGTGCTTCATTTTTACTGCCTGCAATGAATGGTAATTTTTATTCCTAGAAGTCTTATGGAAATAATTAACACTCCACCCAACCTCAGTGGAGTGTTAAGATTTGACCCTTTGTGATTGCCAAAGACTAGGGACAGTAAAATAAGTAAAATAATAGATATGGCTGCAAGTGCCCCTTGTGCCCACCATCCTCAGCCTGCTGAGGGACATCAAGCTGTTGGATCGAGTCCAGAGGAGGCCACCAAGTTCATTAGAGGGATGGAGCACCTCTCTTGTTGGGAAAGGCTGAGAGAATTGTGATTATTTAGCCTGGAGAAGAGAAGGCTTCAGGGTGATATGATTGTGGCTTTCCAGTACCTGAAGGAGCTACAAGAAAGATGGGGAGGGAGTATTTACAAGACCCTGGAGTGACAGGGCAAAAGAATGGCTTCAAAATGAAAGAGAGTAAGTTTAGATTGGATATTTGGAAAAATTTCCTCCCCGTGAGGGTGATGAGGCCCTGGCACAGGTTGCACAGAGAAGCTGTGGCTGCCCCATCCCTGGAAGAGTCCAAGTCCAGACTGGATAGGACTCTGAGCAACCTGGGCTAGTGGAAGGTGTCCCTGCCCATGGCAGTGGGTTGGAACCAGATATCTTTAAAGTCCCTTCCAACCCAAACTATTCTATGATTGTCACACCTCAGGTTCTTCTGTCAGCTTTTGTAGGGGAAAAAACAATTCAAGTTGCTGTTAATACGTAAAAAAATACTGGGTGAGGCCTAAGGGCTTTTATCTGTGTGAGCCATGGGCTGTGTTTCAACGATGCACATAAACAGAGGCTTTTCTGAATCAGGGCCCTTGCAGATATTTGCAACCAGCAAAGCCAGAGCAGAAATTCCCACTGGCTTCCAGAGACAGAAGCTGCAGATGCAACATGCTCTTTTTTTTTTTCCTGGGAGACGCTGTCTGCACTCAAAAATTAAATATACTTGGAAAATTTCCTGGGCAATAAGGGCAACTGGCACATCCTGAGCTGCCTCCGTGCGAGGAACTTGTTTGGATGCAAACTGCCAGATGGGCAGGAACCTTGGAACACGCTGAGGCCGGAGCTGTGCCTGGGAGAGGGTTGGAGAGCCTCGCTGGCACGCACCAAAGGCACGCCAAGGACCTCTCCAACCTTTTGCTAATAATATTGATGGATCATGTTCTGCTGCCTGAGGACATTCCCAGACAGTTCAATATACTGCTACACAGCTATCCAAAAATGCTGTCCCAAACTCATCTTCATCCTCATAACACCAGCAATGAGAAAAGTGTTTCCTGCCAGCACGTGCCATTTCCTGACAATTCAATCACCACCATCTTCGTTTTGGGGCACTTTTTTTAACAGTCCCTCTGTCCTCTGAGGTCACCAAATAAAAGGCCAGTCACTTATTTCATAGAATCGCAGAATCCTAGAATGGTTTGGATTGGAAAGGACCTTAAAGATCATCCATTTCCAATGCATCTACCATAGAAATGTCATGTTTAAACTGTTCAGAAAAAATCTATCGAGAAAAAAAAACCAAGAATTTGGAAGTTGCGGTGGTCGAATTTGATATAAAGCAAAGGACTCCTCAGTTTGAGGTTATCCCATTGTGCCACTGGCCTTGGCTCGTGTTGTAATAAGTGTTATCACACAATTCAGTCACTTCTGACCCTCTAGTCCAGGTTACCATTTTCCTTGTGAGTTAATTAGTTGGCTGGAAATCCAGAGGAAATTGAACTTATGCTTGAAATTCCCTTTTCCTGTATTCTTTTTTTTTATAGAAGAGGATAATCCCTTAGAGGGTTCTAGACCATTTTCATTCTAGAGAGCACAGATAGCAGTGATGTAAATTGCTGTAATTCAGTGGTAAAATGATGTCATTTGGGAAAAAAAAAACAGTGGAACACATATTTTCCTCTTTCTAATTCACATTGTTGCTGTGCCTGTGCAGTATTTCCTGATCTTAAATTTTATAATCAAATCAATTCTGTCCAGTACAAGATATTTCAGGACCTGACAATATTTTATTTCTCATCATAATTATTTCTTACATGGAAATCAGCTTTATCTGAGGTGTGATTGCACATTTCCACCAGACTCGATGTCTTCCACATTAAACCTCACATTGCCCTGCTTGGACTCCCTCAGAGTCACTTCAATGACTGTGGAAATCTTGACCCAGGAAAGGTCTGTCCAAATCCAGGTGCTACCACCACAACACCAACCTGTTAGACCTCTCTTATCCAAAGTGAGGAATTTCCATCCAAATTTGAGATCTGGGAAGACACAGAATGAGACATTCGACCCCCAACCACAAGAAGTCAGGCCTTCCTCTTCCTCTTTCTCACTATAAATGAGAGAACTGTGGCCTACATATCTGTTTTACATATTTTTTTAAAATACTCTTTGCTACCTGAATACATTATCTATGGTTTTGAACACTTGCAGCTATGTTTCAAGGAGAACTGTGCATTATCTGTACCTCCAACAGATAAGTTAAAATATAAAAGTATATATCCTTATTTTTTTAATGCACAGGTTAAAGTCCATACAAGAAAAAGAAAAGATATTTGCATACTGAGAAATGTTTATATACATGCATGTACTTAGTAAATTTTATTTCATTAAAATTAAAACAGAATTTCACTAAAGAGGCATTCAAATCAAACCTTTTAGATTAGTCAGATGATCTTTGTACATGAGAGACATTAAAAACCCACAAATGAAAGGTTTTGTTACACATATTCACAACAAGAATAGTGTGTGTCAGTGGTGTATTTGCTTCTATTTCAGTTTGTTAAAGGGAATCATAGTTGGTATATGAGCTGATTTGCTGACAGAGGGAGGAAAAAACCATGAAGCCAAGCCAAACCACTCCACCTACAATATTAATTAACTCCAGTATGAAGAAGTCATTCACTTTTTATCATTCTTTCCAAAATATATTTATACACTGATTAGAAAAACAAGGACAAAACTACTGTTTCTTAGCTCATTGGAGCCAGTCATACTGTTAATATATTAAAAGTTTAGATGTCCTGTATTTTAAGTGCTCACATTTTCCATCCTATTTGTGGATCAGATCCAAAACCCTCTAAGGATTCCCATTGATCACCCAGGCTTTTTTTATCAAAATGTTTCCAAGTGTCTTGATAAAATCCTGCCACTTGTGAGATTTGAAAGCAAATTATTACACACAAAAATCAGCTTCTATTGGGTAAAATAGGAACAAAAATAATGACTTTAATTTTAGGCAAAAGAGGCTTGAAAGTGCGACCTGAATTGATGTAAAAGCTAAAAAATAGAACTTGAAGAAGAACATTTGTTGATTTCTTTAGCACAGGGTTTAGTCCTGTTGGATGAAAGCCGCAAATGCTTCCGGTCGTTCCAGTCTTCCTCCTCACCTTCCTCTAGAATCAGTCCCAGGAGGAACTTGGCAAGGACTGGAGGTGTCCTGCAAGGCCCTCTGGCACATGGCAATGTGCACACAGATGATTTCATCCCACTGCCAGTGGTGCCAGGGACAACCAAACAGAGCAGGAACTGCTGAGACAGACACAGCCAGGGCTGCATCTGGGAACTGGTTTCTTTCTGAGAGGCTCCTTGACTTTCCTGCTGCTGCAAAGTGTACGTGGGGAACTACTGATGAAGAGGAATGTTTAAGGATGTCCTACAGAGGACAGCACCCTCAAAAGGAGCAGTGAACTGTGATGTTCAGGGCCATGAAGATGATTAGAGGGGACACTTTCCTATGAGGAAAAGCTGAGGGATTTGGGATTGCTCAGCCTGGAAAAGAGAACAATCCCAGGGAGACCTTAATGCAGACTTTCAGTACCTAAAGGGGTTCCAAGAGAGCTGGAGAGGGACTTTGGACAAGGGCATGTAGGAATAGAACAAAGGGGAATGGCTTTCAGCTAAAATGGAGTAGATTTAGGTTAGATGTTGGGTTGTCTCTTACTTCTAGAAGATTTAAAGATACCAA